CACACGCACGCACGCACGCACGCACGCACACGCGCGCACACACACACACGCACACGCGTCGCGCGCACACACACACACACACACACACACACACACACACACACACACAGAGCACGCGCGGTGTGTCGCACGCGCCCCCCGATATCTCTCGAATTTTCGTATCGTGTCGCGGGAGAGGTGTCTCTCGTCAATAATGATTGCTAAAGCGGAGAAAATCGATACCGCCTGGAAATTGCGGCCAGAATCTTCCGTGCTGCGAGATGAAACCGTGCTCGCGCGAATGAATTTTCCTCACCTATGAACGGTTATCGATCTGCTGTACGCCGGCGAGCGTTAAAACTAACTCGTCCTTCTCGTACTTTATGGTAATTCGATGTCGTCTCGCTTCGTGTCGTCGCACTTTGCATACGCTCGAAAACCGCGATTTCGTCGGACCGTCGCAAGCGGGATAGCGTCGTCTCTTCCGCGCCGTAGAAGGGACGTTCCTCCGAGAGATGCATGCATACGAAGGAGAGATTCCCTCCTTTTTCTCGCTACTTTTTCGCACTGACGAAAGCGACATTTGTGCGTTGTTAGTAATACGTTAGTATACAATTCCTTCGATAAGCCCCGAGGACACGCTCGGTGAGAACAAAGTCGCTCGTCGGGATAGAGCTTCTCAGGACGGCGTGTTTGGCTTAGACATTTAGAAAAAGGGAAGCGTTACTTTCGCAGAAACATGCGTGAGGCGACAAGAGAAGAAAATCGGAATAATTCTATACTAACGTGAGACTCTCCGACACAAAGTCTTCTCATAGCTTTGCAAATATTTACGATAACACGATAGCATTGCTTGCGCGCGTGGACGAGTGCTACTTACATTGATGTTTGTCTGCTAGCATAATTAAGGTACTCGGTAAATCCCTCCGCCTGTAGAAGCACATGCATTTTGCTTCCACGTTCCCGCTTGCGGTCTGAAAGAGCAGGAAACGAAAAGGTTAACGAATTTCATGTTGAGTCTACCGTAACAACCTGATATACGCATATATTTGCATTATTAAGGATCAATACATTTTTCAGATACAAAATATAGAAGCAAGTGCGGATAGAGCCATCCGATCCTCGTTATAATTTTTCACGAAAATGCCAAAGCGCCGGCACTTT